CCCCCCCCGCACGCACGCAACAATCGACACGCAACACACGACAATCGACAATTATAAGAATTGGTGGAATGCTGAATCAGCATCTCCATCAGGGCCCCTCTCATAGGAGAAATATCCTATTTYGCGTTGTGCATASGTGTTCCTCATCTCTTCATACGAGTCAAAGCCATTGGTATCACTCATGAAGGTGTTGAGGATCTGATTAACCCCCACTCTGCTGCATTGATAATTATACAACAAGAACAAGAGATTAAGAATGACCTTTCGATCTCCAAGCTCTTCTAAGGTAAGCCTCTMCTTCATCCGTGGAAATTGCCCTTGAATCATTCGCATGCCCCATTCTGATAGCTGGCGGACAGCCGTTGCTTGACGATTGATTACAATTGCCTGGTTKTTCTGTGCCATTGTKGGGAAATTATCCGGATCATTTTGCTGGCTTCGGATGAGATACTCAGCTCCTCTCACCTTAAATGCCGAATCCACAACAATTCTCCCCCCTGTCCTGGTATATATGATTTCTGCCTTCTCATAGAGGCCATAATCTGCCATGGYGCTGTCATGCATAGTCCCTGGAAAGTTAAATAGGGCTACCCGGATTCTCCCATCTGGTRCAAAGAGAAGGATACTATTGATGTAAGTGTCATTAACCCACGAGTTATAGTAAAGGGCTTGAGTTTCCCAGTCCAAYGAATGCTCGAGCTTAACTTTGAGGCCATCTGCTGCGCCCCATACTCTTTTGGTTCCAAGCGTTTTGTACTTTCTTGCTATTGCTGACACGTATGCCTCTACTTCTTCATCCGTTGGGGGCCTAATAATTGCATCTGGGTGTTTTTGCAACACAAAAAGAAGGACTCGTCTAGAAAATTTCAACCATTTATAGAGGGGTGTGGAGGTAAGCCCAAAAACCATACTCAATGTTCTAGCTGATGATCCACGTGTTCTGTACCAAGTCAAGGCTAATCCAAGTCCAACTTTAGCAGTGAGCGCCCTCTTATTGCCCTTTCGTTTGCCTTTCTTAGTGAACTGTACTGGTCTGATCTCCATGGTGTTTTTGTCCACTGTATATGCATCAAAAACTGGTTCGAAAAGGCTAAGGAGATCCCTAACAAAGACAGGATGGTCGACGCCACAACAGTTTAGAAGAGCCTGATTATCACCACTATCAAACAGATAAGTGAATGGGGATTCAGTACACTCCATGAGTGCAATTCGTGGAATCCTCCTGTCACGACGGCGCCTGTCTTCTTCAGACAGTCTTTGTTTTGCTGGNTGTTTTTGCAACACAAAAAGAAGGACTCGTCTAGAAAATTTCAACCATTTATAGAGGGGTGTGGAGGTAAGCCCAAAAACCATACTCAATGTTCTAGCTGATGATCCACGTGTTCTGTACCAAGTCAAGGCTAATCCAAGTCCAACTTTCGCAGTAAGCACCCTCTTTGTGCCCTTTCGTTTGCCTTTCTTAGTGAACTGTACTGGTCTGATCTCCATGGTGTTTTTGTCCACTGTATATGCATCAAAAACTGGTTCGAAAAGGCTAAGGAGATCCCTAACAAAGACAGGATGGTCGACGCCACAACAGTTTAGAAGAGCCTGATTATCACCACTATCAAACAGATAAGTGAATGGGGATTCAGTACACTCCATGAGTGCAATTCGTGGAATCCTCCTGTCACGACGGCGCCTGTCTTCTTCAGACAGTCTTTGTTTTGCTGGTGTCCTCCCCTGTTGCTGCTGGCGCTCTTCTTCCTCAAGGGAAGCTGCCCAGGCAATTAAGACCATCTGAGGGGTCATGATACTAATAGTGTGGTGTTTCTTCTGTGAAGGAGCAATCAATTGCCAAATAGTGAGGGTAGGGACTGTTTCGGAGGAGAATACCGACTGTTTTTGTTGTTGTTGTTATTCTTTTCTTTCGGAGGAGAAGGATTCAGTTTTTGAGGATTCTATTTCCGAAGTTTTGAAGGCACGTGAAAATCCCAAAGTTCCCGCCACTTTGGAATTTTGTGAAATTGCATGCAATTTATACAGGATTCCAAATTCCAAAAATGGGGGGAAAATATGTAAGTTGAGATGGAAATCTGTGTCTTCTGTACCACTGAAAGTGATTCCCGAAAACATATCACGAAATATGTTTGCGGGAATCACCCAATTACTACGCGTTTCGTAACAATTGAAATCGGCCTTGAAAGAGAGCAAAAAGTAATAATTTGGAGTTCTTAACTTCGATTTGAAGTTATGAACTTTTGCTCGTACATCATGTACCAGGTTCTACTGAGCTTGTTTTTAAAATGACTGAATGACCGAATCGATTCCCCTCAAAACAAAACAAAATGGTTTGAGGTGATTCAATTATGAATCCTGGCCTTTCAATTATGAATCCTGGCCTTTCAATCATTAATGCCATCCAAAAACTAGCTCAGTAGAACCTCGTAGACTTTCTACTGGGACATTTTGAAGTTCATAACTTCAAATGGAAGTTTAGAACTTGAAATTGTTACTTTTCGCTCTCTTTCGAGGCCGGTTTCAATTGTTACGAAACGCGTAGTAACGATTAACGATACGGTACGGGTCACTTCGGTTTTTCGTTTTTCTCAAGATTTCTTTCGCGTTCATCATTGGTACCGTACGTTACGTACTCGTAGGYGGTATGTATGTACTGTAATGTGCAATACGTACTCTTCTGGAATCTGGAATGCAACATGTTTGTAGCGATGAAGATAGTGGTGTATGGACAAYGGAAGACACCTGATACGGTACGGTACCACCGTACTACTTCGTTCCGAAACTCTAGAAACAATCTGCTGCATTAGATCAATGGATAAGACTGCTAGTGAAATTGATGTCGAACCTGAAGCTATAATATCGAAAGAACCACAAACGTTAAAGATAAGCAAAAGTTGAAGCGACCTCTTATTTTTCGAAGACAAAGTGTCCTTTCGCTGTAMTTCATTAAAGGGTGCAACAGAAATTCAAAACATGCCCGGTATTTGCACTTCTTCTCTTGATCGCAAAGAGGAATGGAAACGCTGTTGTGCAGAATCCATGGGGTTTGAATGGGTGGATTGCTTTGATGACGACGACGAGAACGACACAGTTCTGAGTCCCATTAAGAGCGAAATCGAATCCAACATGCAAGTTACCAATTTGCTGGACGACAACGACAACGAGCACGATTTCGAAGATTACTATTGYAACTATCGGGACGAAGACGATCGCACTCATCGGCGCAACCAAAAAGGCACCAAGAGCAGCGATACATGGACAGACAATGCGTTGCGCATCCAAGCCGATTTGAATCGAATGTCGCAATGGATCCAATCCAAAAAGMGAGAATACGTCGGACTAGATATGAAAGACGAGGAGGCTGGACTGATTCAAAGCACGGTAACGTCGTTTGCGGCGACGACCGCAAGCGACCTGGAGACCCTGAGAAACATGATCAGCACAAACACCGCTACCGGTGCCAGCAACTACAACCTCGCCAACCATCGAGCCGGTGTGGTCCAAATTTTGTTTTCACAATTGCAAGAGCAAGTGACGAAACCTTTTGCTAGTTTGCAAAAGCAACGAACTCGTGAGGCCGTGCAGCTTTGGCAGAACCCATTGCAATGCAAACTTTACTATGATGTTCCAAAACAGAGTCGACAAGGCCAGCAAGAAATGGTGTTTAACGACGACGACGAAGGCTACGGCGATGAGCAACCACCAAAGGAACAGCGTTTTTTGCCGCAAAGATCGTATCAACAGAACCGCAGCGAYAATCGCGAGAGCGACGGCGATTTCTTTATTTCAAAATATGCTAACAAACCAAAAACAAGCATTCCTTCCACGAAACCAGACTTTCTGCGTAGGCTTACACAGCGACAGTATCCAGTAAGAGATGAAAGCGATTCTTCGTCGACAGTGTCCCCATCAACCGACGAAAGGAAGCGCACGTTCTCAAATCCAACYACCGATAATATCCCTTCGTCATTTGGGGACAATGTCATTGCTACCGAACAGACTYCCGAGGGTTTCCAATCCAGTTCGCAGGGAAGACATGACGTAAATCCCGACCTGTATCGACAACAATTAGAGGAAGACTTACGGACAGAATCAGTTCAGTTGACCACAACACTTATCGCAAGTAATGATTTGGATAGTGTCCATCAAATGGAAAAGCGTATGGTGGAAATCACAACATTGATAGGACAATTTTCAAATTTGGTTCAAGAGCAACAAGAGCAGGTCCTTCAGGTCCACGAGAGCGCCAAAGAAACCAAAGACAACATGGACAAGGGACAGGAAAACTTAATTGATGCGGCAGAACGCACGAAAAAATCAAAACACTACAAGGCTTGGTCAATTCTTGCCATGGCTGCAATCCTCGTCTTTTTCCATCTGGTTCGAAACTAAAAAGATTTKRTTGAAATGYATTTCGTGAAMAGCATGTATCCGAATTCGAATCCTTTGGTTTTGTTTTAGTTCATGTTGGTGCGAAAGGCCGCATCAACCTAGAACCAGGATGCAWAATTCCAGTAGGATTCAAAAACATTTTGGTAGCATCTATTTCTAAAAGCTATGGCGCAATGACTAACACGAAGGAATCGTCATTTTAAGTCTTATTTTTACWCTGTATACCTAATATCGGATTTCAACTTGCGCAATTTGCGTCAGTGGAAGTTGGATCTCTATTACGAGATCAGATCGATTTGATCCTCGGATTTGATGTTCGCAGAAGAGCCGTAGTCAAACACAATCTTCAGACCGACTTGAATCAATCCGAAAGCAAGCCCCAGGAGGTTAGGAAAGTAGATATTGAAGTCTTTGAATTCACCGAGACCCGCAACAGACCACAAGAAACAATTYAATATGGTCGCCAGCGTAAAKGGAAGAGGGATGCTCTTTGCTGACCGTGTTTTAAGTACCGTTCTGAGCGCCGCTAGGGGACTCGCAAACATGAGCAAACAAAACAGCACGGCTGTGTTTCCAATCAACCTCGCGGCGTATGGCATCCACATATTTTCCCGATGTACTGTCATATAGCAGATTAAAATCCATAGCGACGATCCTCCGATAATCGCCAAACAACCTTGCATGTGCTGTCGCACGGTTCCTGGTAGATTTGTCGATTTAGGTTGGGTGTACTTRATGAATTTCACAAAGTAGAACACACCAAACATCAATCCGCTAAGATTGGTAAACCATACTTTCGGTTCTTCGTTCAGGATTCCATAAAATAGCCACAGGATGCAATTAGCAATCATCGAAGAATACGGYAGGAGAGGCAAATTCCCGACAGATTTGTCCTTTTGAACTTGTTTKATCGTTGGGTACGGCTGTAGTCCCACGGCATCAATTCAGAAAAGAAAGAAAATAAGCGTATGAGGCGACCATATTTGTAGGTAGAGAATTTGAATCGATTGACATCAGAAAAGTGTCGTTTTTGTCGTTGWCTTTTTCGCTTTTCTTTCACATACCGCCATGAAAACAACAATCGCAGCCAAGGGAGCGGTGTTGGAACAAAACCTTATCCATGACGGAACGTCAGMTGCTGAATGAGCCATCCTTTTCTACTCCACGCACGTTCTTCGAACTAATCTCAATCTCCAGCGTTTCCTGGCCCTTTTTCCTTCTGTCTYTCTTCCYCTCTCAAGTTATGGACGGGACATCGTACTAAATTTAAATCACTTCTCATCTACTGTACTACTTCCGTCTAACGTATGGTCCGATACTACAAGAGGTTCGGTTTCTTTTCTACGGCGAAGTCCTCAGTCGAAATGAGTGAGATGCTGGACACAAAGGAAGACCAATCATGACCGTCATGTATCATGAATAGATATGAAAGATATGTTAGATAGGTAAGTTAAAACTACATCTGTACGTGTAGAGAGGCAATTGTTTGTTTCTCTCGCAACGCGAAATTGRTGACACAGATGAATTTTCAATCTGCTGACATAATTGGTGGCTACAATTACGGCTGCCGTACTTCAGGGATGATTCGTGCGTATTCATCAGTACTACCGTACGGTAATTTATCACGGTATTCAAAATTGTACCAAGTGTGATTGGTTTGGTCCCATGCAAAACATCTGTCTCAGCGGCCTAATGGAATCCTCGGAGTATCACCCACCGTAAGCGCCACTCAATACTGGTACAACTAGATTCGATATTATGTGCCGGAACAAGCGCATTTGCATTAAATGAATCTGCCGGGAATGCATGCATGACAAACCTTTCACGACAACTGTGCCAAAAGGAAAACGCACTCATTCACCTCAAAAYTACGAAGAAAAGACACCGCACCTCCAAAATTCAAGCAGTCTGCTTGGATGCGTTACAAACCCGACGGTGGAAGTCTCATAAACACAAAACATCTTATCCGAAAAAGGGACAATACCATCAAAATGACTTTGCAAAACTCACCGTACATCGGCCAGCAAAAAATCGCGGTCGTTGTCGACCCATATTCAACTGGATGCTGTGTGGCACAAGAGATCCAGAAACGAGGGTATCTCCTCATTGCTGTCTGGACAATCGGTTTCGCAGAAGAAATGAAAACGCACGTYCCCAAATCTTGTGGTCGGATGGATTATTTCGCCGAGATCGACGAAGCACAAACACTGAAACAAACAAAGGCTCGTATAAACGAGGCTGCGCAAGGCCGTGAAATATTTTGTTGTTTTGCAGGAGGCGAAGCTGGTGTTGACGCCGCCGATGCATTGTCCGAATATCTTGGTCTGCGTACCAACGGAACAGGAATCGCGAATCGTCGTGACAAATACGTGCAGCAAGAACTCATCCGCAAGGTCGGACTTCGTGCAGTCCGCCAGGCAGGTGGTCCCATTTTTTCCGACGTTGAGGCTTTCCTGACCACCGAAGCCTATCCTGTCGTTCTCAAACCAACTGAATCGGCGGGATCTGATGGTGTGAAACTCTGCTACACTTACGAAGAAGCGAAACAGCATTTCGAGAAACTCATGAGCAGTCAAATGGTCAACGGAGGMGAATGCCCCTCTGTGCTATGCCAAGAATTTCTGCAAGGTGATGAATACGTCGTCGACCATGTATCGAGGGATGGTGTTCACAAAACCGTCATGATCTGGGTCTATGACAAGAGAAAGGCGAATGGTGGCGACTTTGTCTATTTTGGCATGAAACCAGTCGATCCTACCACAGACGTTGCAAAGATTCTAATCAACTACACTCGTCGTACACTAGATGTTTTGCAAATCACAAATGGGCCTACTCATTCGGAAATTATGATGACTTCAGAAGGACCATGTCTTGTCGAAGTGAATTGCCGTGCACATGGAGGTAAGAATAGGGCGTATATTTTTCAAATCACAATGCAAAGGAAATTACTGTACCGCTCACGATACATKGATGATTTATCAAAAATTCTATCCTACTTTTGTTTTGCTCTACAGGTGATGCATCGTGGACACCTTTGGCCCGTGCTTTGACCGGSGGTTATTCACAAGTTGAAGTATCCGCGGATGCCTTTTGCGATCCCGSTGCTTTCGACAAGATTCCTGAAAGACCGGCGTACCCATTTAAGGCGTCAGGTCAAGAGGTAAAGCTGGTTTCGTACTCAAAGGGAAAAGTGAAATCTACACCAGGTTACGAGGTCTTGAAAATGCTCCCGTCTTTYGTACACATGGACGGTATCGTATCRGTAGGTGATCACGTCGACTATACTCACGATCTYATCACCGCCATTGGGGCTGTCATTATCAGCCACCCCGATGCCGAAGTCGTGAAACGTGATATTGAATTTATCAGGTGAGCTAATGGCAACGAAAAAATATTTCGTATGCATTTCAATTGATTTGATCGCTTTCTCATGTACGGACCTGTGGATACTCTTTTTCAACGATCTTCTTTTCGTCACTGTCTTTTAGGCTAATGGAACAAATCAATGGTTTTTTTGTGTACGAGTCCCAACCAACACAGTTGACGAATCCAGACGACAAGGTCCGAAGAACGAAGGCAGGAACCAAAAATCACAGACGTCTACTCTCGGCAGATGGACCCAATCTCCTMAGAATGATGTCAAATGACCGCCCCGAGCTCTGTCGTCCATTGGTSAGACACATGACAACCATTGATTCGTCGAAAGAGGCAGTTGTCATCACTGATCCTTATTCTACTGGCTGTGTAGTGGCAAGCGAAGTGATGAAACGTGGATTCAGTGTCATTGCTCTCTGGACGAAAGATATCTCCGATGAGTTGAGATACCATACTCCCCTGAGTTGCTCTGGGATGAATGAATTCTTCGCAACCATCGAAGAAAAAGATGATCTCATGGCAACGATGGAAGAAATTTACAATGTAGCAGGAACGAAAAAGATTGTTGCTTGTTTTGCTGGAGGTGAAATAGGAGTTGACTTGGCGGATCGCCTATCCGAGCGCATGAAGCTTCGTACTAACGGTACAAAGCATTTTAATCGACGTGACAAAAAAGTTCAACAGGAGATTATTCGCAAACAYGGGTTGCGCTCGGTTCGTCAGGCTGGGGGCGCAGAATTCTCGGAAGTGGAGGAATTCTTGAAAACAGAATCGTATCCAGTTGTCCTCAAGCCAAACGAAGCTGCGGGAAGCGAAGGCGTGAAACTATGCAACTCCTTTGAAGAAGCAAAGGAGCACTTCGAGGCCCTTATGGCTAGCCAACTTCAAGTAGGAGGACCTTGCCCAAGTGTTCTCTGTCAAGAGTTCTTGAGGGGCAAAGAATATGTAATCGACCATGTCTCTCGGGATGGCATTCATAAAACCACTATGTTGTGGTCATATGACAAGCGGCCTTTGAATGGTTCAGATTTTGTTTATTTTGGAACTTTGCCAGTTGACGCTAATAGTCCAGAAGCAAAGATATTGATTCCATACGTCAGAGGAATTCTGGATGCCATGGAAATTGCCAATGGAGCATCCCATGCCGAAGTGATGATGACTCCAAATGGACCATGCTTAGTTGAGATGAACGTCAGAGCGCATGGGGGAGACGGCAACTGGGTGCCTTTGGCAAGTGCTTTGACAGGCGGGTACACCCAAGTGGATGCTACCGTCGACTGCTATTTGGACAAACAAAAGTTCGCTACCATTCCAGATGTTTATCCCAGCCCTTTCAATGCGGCCGGACAAGAAGTGTATCTTGTTTCAAGAGGACGTGGCAAAGTACGATTTACGCCTGGATTTGAAGTCATCAGAAGTTTGCCTAGTTTTGTCTACCTTGAAACTGGTGTGATGCCTGGGGGTTATGTTGATTTCACAGTAGATCTTTTCACAGCTATTGGGAGTGTCATGTTGATGCACAAGGATCCTGCAGTCGTGGACGCTGATATCAAGAAGATTCGTGAGATGGAAGCAAACAACGAGATTATAGAATACGAGCCACAATTGGCAACTCTTAAATAAAACTATAAATGATWCAACAACAATTGTTCAACTTTGAAGATGATTGCAACAACACTCATTGAGCTTATGCCAGCAGAAGCACACGCTTCTTTCGCTCGTATCGAGGCCCTTCGATTAGGATAGTACTCGTTCTGAACTATGGCAAAAGGAATAATCTATAACGGGAGTTATCTCACAAAAAAGGGCGATTCTCGATTTCTCTACTTTCGTCCTGGCTATCAATGAGAAGATTGTGAGTGACTAGAAGAAGCAAAGTAACTCCGCCTGCGTATCTGTTTTTTGGGCAGCTGTTGCTGCCGTAAATTTGGGTTCGATTGACCATAGGAAGAAAACGAAGGGCTGCCATGCGTATTAGTACTGGACATCCTCTTAGGATCATTTGCAGTACCTTTATAGTTATTCAAGGAATGGAGGGAAAAACGGGATTGGTTGTTTCGATTTTGCTGCCATGGAATGGGCGTTTGCTGTTGTCGCCGGCGTTGATGCAGGGGTCGAAAATGTTGGGGAGGTAGTTGTAAATGATCATTTCGATACGAATCGTGTCGAGTTGTTGCTGTTGGCAGATATTGCTGATGAGAAACGAAGAGTCCTTCACTACTCAGCGAGTCATCACCCATATATTTGGGTACGTAGTATGGATCGTGATTACAATCCAATTGGGTTTGGTGGCTTTGGTTGCCTGGGAGCCTTTGTGATCTAATAAATGGAAGATGTAAGTACGAGCGAGGTCCTCTATTTCCGGCAAGGTCGCTTTCAGGTAGACCCTCCCAGGGCGATCGTAATAAGGATGAGCTAACTCCGTCTAATTTTGGAATTGTGTCGTATCYGGCCTGAATCGAAGGTTGTACCACTTTTATTTGTCTTGGCATTTTGATTTCTTGCCGTCCGTTAGTGCAATTCGGTTCAAAAAYAAGAGAACCGCCTCCGGTGTTTTCTTGCCAAAATTGATCTTCGATTCTGTTTTGAAAGATTTGGTCCTTGGATTTTCGATCTGCCTTCGATCCGGACCATGTCGGGGAGTGCAAAGATGACGACTGAGGGGACATCTCGAAAGCTGTCGCTGCAGTAGAACACCGAGGAAAGAGCTCTGTAGCAACACTGCTTCTATGAGCGGGTGTAAACACAATCTTCGCAGGCTGCTGCTGGAGGTCTTCTCGTCTGATTCCTTCTTTGCTCACTCCGTTTGAGGCTATTGCTTGGAACGGGAAAGTCGATGGTGACGATGTACCGAAAAAACTGTTAAGAACCTTGCRGGTCCTGCGATCGATTGGAATCATCCCCTCGAGATCTCTATCGCAAGCAGTGGCAATGGCACGAAGAGTGCCCATTTCCGACATRAGCTGGTCCGCCTCCCCTATGGGCCAGYCAAAGACCTCGGCTAGGGTTCTCAATCCKCTTGCTGCATGGCGAGCGGCCGCTACCTCRATGGCAAYGTCGGCATTGTCACTACAACCAGCATTGTCATTGTCGCCATTGCGCTCGACGATGGAAGAAATCGGCAGGTAATTGTTTGCCGCCAAGCGTTCAAAAAACATCCGCTTTTGCTCTTTCTTTTCTGGTGTTATGGAATTAGCGATAGAAATCAAGMTTTTTACGGCTGAYTCTGTATCTGGAAGCATTATCACGCGCAGGGTCTTATATTTGTTCGTACTCTCGCTTYGCTGCTGCTGTTGTTCTAGACACACTGCCAAACGCTGTGCACGATGGAAATGCGAATTGATATCGTTGAGTTGTTGCGAGATCGTGATGGTGTTCTTACATTCCTTTKTGCTGTGCTTCGTTTCATGGTTGTTTCTTGAGGGAAGGATGAAYAGAACGAATGCGAGCTGAAAGGACGATAAGAAGGCCGACAAGCCGTCAAAGTTGTCATTATCGCTAGAACTTTCTTGTGGCGCTTCGTTTTTTTTTTGACTGCGGATGTTCGTTGCCTCTACTGTTCTCTGAGGCAGCAACTGGTGTTCTCCTTCTAGCGATTGAAATTCATGTAAATCACATGGATAATAGGCTCGCACCGCAATTCGTTCTGCCGCAAACAATAGATGGGCTCCCGAAAGAGGCTTTCCCTTTACTATAAGACGCTTGCAATGGCGGAGTAGAGCGAATTCCAAATCTTTTCGATGCATCATGTTGTGTCGTAGGAAAGCAGCAAAAGGAGAATTCAATTCGTACGTTTTAGAARTGAGAATGAAAACATGGACATTATCAGAAGAAGAATGCGACAAGTTTCGCGTCACAATACTAGTAACTATTGATTCATCATCTATCAAGCTACAGTTAGCCAACCTTCAATTATTGATCAATCTCGCCTTACCTGAAGGTTGGTTGTCTTTTCCCCGCGATGCGAGGATGGTCGAAAAGTGGGGTTGCTGCTTTCCGGTGCGGGGGTTGTATTCCATTTTTCCTTTTCATATGTTACTGTATTCTTGCAATGTGATGAATGGAAGAGTGGAAACAAAGCTAATACAACAACAATTGTGACCACAAAAAAGGTCGATMTTGCAGGATAGATTCTTCGTACCGGAACAGCATTGCTTCTTTTTGCGAGGAATTCGTTGGGGTACTAGAAGTAGTATTTTTTCGAATTTTCTAGGAGAAATCGAAAGAAAAATCGAGCAAAATCTGAAACGGCCGAAAAGATTTCCCTCCGACAAAAGACAAA